TTCAAAATAATAAGTGAACCTGATATGTAAAAACTGATAAATATATATGATAGGGACTGTGAAGTCAGTGAAGAGCTGCTGGTGGAACTGTCTATTTGACTGTAATTACAGACTCTATGAAGATTCTGCTGCAGCAGACGTTTTGATTTGAATGAGATTTGAGCCTCACTGGAATCTGAAGCCTTTTTCACTAAATAACATCCTCTAGAAAAAATGTTTCTTTTATTACAAAGACTCAGTATAATAGAAACATGATTGTATGTTTATCCAAGCATACCTTTACAAGTAATTCTTGTAAAAGCAATCAACCTTGGAAAAATATATTTCAGTAAGCTTAAAAGTGTCTTAATCAAAATTCGAAACCCCCAAAAAGCAGTCACATTACAGACGAGACGCGAGGTGACGCATCGGTTCTTCACCAGAAAGAGCAGCAATACTCGACACTCTTCAAAGCTTCGACGTGTTGCGTAACATCACCGCATTCAGTCTCTAAAACTTCTCTCTGAGAAAATCTTTATTTCTTCCTTTCAGGATTCAGCAGCCCTTGTGTGTTTTCTCCTTCATGTTTGAACATAAAATCATTTTGAGAGTTCAGAATAAACCTTTGTCAGAGGATTGATGTTTCGTGGCCTTTTCTTTTCCGTGCATCCTGACCCGATGCCCATGATGATAGTTCACTTTTCATTCTGAGCCTCTTATTTTCACCTGACGTTGATGTAGAGCTCTGCTGCTGTTCTACCCACACTATTACCCAAACACTTCCTTCACAGTTCCAGAAGAAAATTACTTCAGACACAATGATGAACAACAGGTCTCAGACCAGTAACACGTCATCTTATCCGTTCTCTCCCAGCTGCTGCAATCGCACATGTGCTCCATGACGATGAGTTTGACTCTTCACCTTCTGCTTCACATCGCTGTATGTTGAGATATGAAACATCTCAGTCTTATCTATCCTCAGTCTTTCTCTTCTTTTCATGTGATCGAACATCACAGCAAAGTCAGACGCTAAGTTTGAAAACATCTGATTCTTCATAATTTGATATCTACAGAATTCAGAGGTGAAAAGATTTAGTCTGTAAGACATGAATGAATCGACTGAAAGATGGAAAAAAAGGACTCAAGTCGTTTAAGGAAGTGACACTTCACTAAAACAGGGAAGTGAACGCCTCCTAAAAAGCCTCAGCTCATTTGTCTCTCAGTCGAAGTGTGAGAAGAACAGGAGCACGATGGTTGAACTCAAATGGACTAAATGGAAAAATGTCTTTGTTTGTGATGCTGGGGCTTCAGTTCACAGGTAAGGACACATATAACACACACAGATAAAGAAACAGTAGAAAACTTGACTATGTGTGCTTCAGTAACTACAGTCGTAAACAGCTGAGTGTGTTGTTTGATGTGAACAGAGTTAATGGAGGATAAGATGCATTGCACTGTTACGATCTACGGTTCGTATCCGAGGGCAGAGGACAAGTGACACAAGGTTCTTTGTGTTAGAGTTGGATTTTCTTATTTCAATTATTGTTCATTTTCTTCTCTCTTTCTCAGCAGCTGTCACAGGACAAGGTTCCTTCCTCTTTTTCAGAGATGGAGATGAAGCCACTCTGCCCTTGTAAAATGTCAGAGATTGATCAGGATAACATGTGACAGTACTTACTGGACCTTCAGTCATTCATTAGACTCACTGTAAACCTGGTTGTATGGGGTCAGTTTGGTAAAGATGCTCAGACTAAATCAGACAGACTGAGTCTGACAGAGAACTGTTCTCTGGTTCTGAAGAAGGTCTCAGCTGAGGATGCTGGTCGTTACGGCTGCAGACAGTTGACAAGTCAGGACGACAAAACTCCAGACTCTGTGGTTGATCTGTCTGTTTGTTTCCAGTGAGTATTTACATCAAACTGTCTGTTTTAAAACACTACAACTTTACAATCATGATGATTATTACAGTGATGAAGTTCATTTCTCTTCTTGTGTCTTGTCCTCAATGTCTCCGTCTTCACCAGTGACTGAACATGAGGACAGTGATATGGTCATCATGTACTGTTATGTGTTCACATTTGGACGCTGTGGATACCCAGTGCAGTGGCTGTATGAGGTATTAAGGATGATTCCACCAACATAGAGTCAACACTCCGACCTGCTCAGCCCGCGTGTTCATTTAACACTTGCTCATCTTCATCACAAGTCAAAGTATCAGGAGTCATTCAAGTGTGAAGTGACAGATATAAACAGCAAGAAACGCTGCGGTTTACCTTCATCCCTCAGTCCTCAGGAGAAAAACAGGTTGTTTATTTGATGGATTTGAATTTTACAAACACACATCTCTTCTGTGTGCTGCAGAGGAAAACTTTACACATTTTCTCCTTTGTTGTTTCTGTTTTTTCTAATTTTCATATTCAGTTGTACAAATGAAACATCTAATCAATAACAGAAACATTACACACGTCGACTTTTCATGCTGTTTTATTAATTAACCTTCACATTAAAAAGACTGTCAACTTCACTGTTTGTGTTTAACTCTGTGACTTCAGTGAAAAACCTCCCTGTTCAGATCACAACTGGTTTTAAGTCACAGTGACAAACTGCTTCATGTCTGTGATCTGTTTTGTGTGAGTGGTGGACATTTGCACATCAGTTCTGTGAATCTAACCACAACATTTCACACTGACTGTTAACACAACAGACGCCTTGTTCACCTCCTGCTGAACACTGCTTTTCCTCACCTGCCTTGAAGGACGTGTAGACAATTTGAGTCAGGGGTGGGTGGTGCCTCAGAACCTGTTACTGACCCGGAGAACAGTTAAGTCTCCCATCCAAAAGATGAAGGCCAACTTTTAAAAGGAAGAGAGCTGGTGAAACAAGAAACCCTGAAGCTATAAACAATATTTCCACCCAACACAGAAAAATCTAACTGCTCGACGCGAGGCCATACTACATTACAACCTCAACCACTTATCAAGATTCAATGTTAGACGGAAAAAGGAATCAAGAAGCAAAAGTAAATAATTCACTTAACCCAAGTCACAAGACCGCATATTGTACTTCTAAATAAATGTGGCATTTCACTTGACTCTGTGGAATAAGCCTTTAGAAGTCACGAGTAACAACCAAGGACCACCATTCATTTATTACTTCAATACGCTCACTAATGAAATTTATCATTTTAACCTACCACACCAATAACATACTCGTGCAAGCACCTGAGACATGTTCGATTTCCCTGGTTCTCTGTACAAACCTTAAAAATCACATTCATGCGTTGAAAATTAACTAGATGTCATGAATTCAATGTGAAGTAACATAACTGTCATGAGAATGAGGTGTCTCGAACAATGAGACAAAAAACACATACATGCACGCAGAGCCACTTCAGTCAACCGTTCGACTCCCTGTTAGAAAGAGAGAGACGTCATGCATGTCATGGGAGTTCCCCCCATCACAGTTCAATATCAGGCTCGTATATGAAGCAGCAAGCAAATATCACATAAGGACTGTGACAGCTCACAGCTTCTAGCCTCTCACCCAGTACACCATCTTAGTCTCATTGATGCGTGTATAACTGTCTCTACTTTGAGAAAGTTAATTCAAGACACTTCATTCGTAATTACCTTTCAGTTGACAGCAGGTTAAAGGTCCTTTTCTTACTCACTTTCTTTTCTTGGAGCGACTGGTGAGGTCTTGTACCCAGGAAATATCCATCCCCTGTGTAACAGCTATTAATTTCCGACCAATGCTGTTCAGACCAAACCTACTTCCTGCTTATTGCCATCTGTGAGTCTACCTGCGAATCATGCACTATCAGATCTATGCACAGTGCCCAGTGTCATGCATGGTAGAACATAATACAGATCTAGTGTCAGCTTACTCATCTCAACCAGGTTCTGATTTTTCAAACAATAATGTGCACGTCTGTCTTCTCTTTTGCTTTGTATCATCTCATATATTTCTGCAGACGGGTGATAAGGGCAGGCGGTTGACGAGTCTTGAGCTGCTCTTGTGTCGAATGAGCCATGTATGAATGCGGTGCCTAACACACTTGAAGATGGACCCTGTTTGAGGACAAAACAGTGGATAACAGAGTACAGAGTACCAAAATCACCAACATCAACAGTTCCTAGATGACTGCTATCAGTCCACTGTATAAAACATCTCTCCCATGGCGTGCGTATTGAAACAGTTCAATAAATATCCTGCCGCAGTTATTCAATCGACATGTCTTATATTTCACTGGAAACAGATCGAGCAAAGCAGTTCTCCTCCTTCTGTGCCAATCCCTCGGTCCTCAGTGGAGAACAGATCAGCCTTGATTTAAAAATCACTTCAAAACTCATTAGAAGGAAGGAACCCTTTCCCTTCGAATTCAATCATCTAGTCACATCTGCTAGAGTGGAGTGAGAAGACATCAAGAGTTATGTTATATCACTTCACTGTAGTTTTCTAAGGATTTGGCTAGTAATTCCATCTAGTTCGAGTGCGAACGTGACAAAGAGAAAAACAACCTAAGACCACATTAACAGACAAACCCAGCAATCTGATAACCGAAAACCACTCCATACCTGAAGCAGAGAAAACCAGCAAACTTGAAGCAAAACTCAGCAAACTGACTAGAAACAGCAAAACCAGCAACTGAAGCAAAACCAGCAACTGAAGCAAAACCAGCAACTGAAGCAAAACCAGCAACTGAAACAAAACCAGCAACTGAAGCAAAACCGACAAGTACAAACAAAACTATAACTACAAAACAAGGTGACATTACATCTCTCTCTCTCTCTTTCTGAATTTGAACATGAGCCATCTTTCATTCATCATTGTCACAGAAAAAATCTTTTATTTATTTGGTAAAAAGTGTATTTGCTGACACGAATCTGCTGCTGACTTTTTCAAACTGCTGCTTCAGTCTCAGATGTCTATTGGAAACTTAAACACTCCTTGTGTTTCTGGTTATTTTCTCAGAACGATTCTTCACTGACATGATGTTTGTGCTCATGTGTTCTCCACAGCTGCTACAGATTGTTCTGCTCTGACCTTCATCATGTTGCTGATGCGTGTGGCTGAACTCCTCCTCATCACTGTGATCACTGTTCTCCTCGTCAGAGCTCGAGGTGAGAACATCCGCTCCAACATGAGTTCAGGCTGATCCACACAACCTGTGAGTTCAGAGGTGAAGTGTTACTCTGTGCTTTATTTTCCAGGGAACCAGAGAGCACCTGAATGCAACACTGTGAGTAGAGAACCAGAAACCATCCTCATTTTAAAATGCTGCTGCTAACTGTTCATGTGACTGTGATACGTGGCTGTTAATGTCTCACTGTTTGTGTCTGTGCAGGTCTCAGACTCAGTGAGAAGCACAACAGTGATGCGTTCAGGTGCAGCAGCCAGTCAGGTAAAGATCAGATCAGACAGGAACTGATGGTGCGTTCAGGTTCAGCTGAATCAGCTGTGAACTGTGTTCAGTTTCAACACATCAACAGTCAGCTGGGAGGGAACTGTGGGAGTCTGGGTAGTTTTAGGAGCTATAACAAAATCAGGGACTGGTGTGTGATTGATCGGTTGGTCGGTTGGTTGGTGGTTAGTTGGTTGGTCGGTTGATCGGTTGGTCAGTTGGTTGGTAGGTCGGTCGGTCGGTAGGTCGGTCGGTTGTTGGTTGGTGGTTAGTTGGTTGGTTGGTCAGTTGGTTGGTTGGTTGGTCAGTTGTTTGGTCGGTTGGTCGGTCAGTTGTTGGTTGGTGGTTAGTTAGTCGGTCGGTCGGTTGTTGGTTGGTGGTTAGTTAGTTGGGTGGTTAGTTAGTTGGTTGGTTGGTCGTTTGGTTGGTCGTTTGGTTGGTCGGTTGGTTGGTCGGTTGGTTGGTCGTTTGGTTGGTCGGTTGGTTGGTTGGTCGGTTGGTTGGTCGGTTGGTTGGTCGGTCGGTAGGTTAGTCGTTTGGTTGGTTGGTTGGTTGGTTGTTTGGTCTGTCGGTCAGTCGGTCGGTTGTTGGTTGTTGGTTAGTTAGTTGGTTGGTTGGTTGGTTGTTTGGTTGGTCGGTTGGTCGGTTGGTTAGTTGTTTGGTTGGTTGGTTGGTTGGTTGGTTTGTTGGTTGGTTGGTTGGTTGGTTGGTTGGTTGTTTGTTTGGTCGGTCGGTCGGTCAGTCGTTTGTTGGTTGTTGGTTGGTGGTTAGTTAGTTGGTTGGTTGGTTAGTTGTTTGATTGGTTGGTTGGTCGGTTGGTCGGTTGGTAGGTTGGTTGGTCGGTTGGTCGGTTGGTAGGTTGTACAGCTACACTTGAGAATGTGTCAGCAGGATTACTAAACAACTACTGAACTGATTAGCACCAACCCTGTGGGAGGGATGGGTCATAGGCCAGGGACAAATTACCTTTTGGTGCAGATCCAGTGAAAGGAGCCGATCCAGTAATTCTTCTTAATTACTCTCCTCAACATTGCGAGAGAGGCCATGTTGTAGACATTTCCGGCGACTTCACAGGATAAATTTATAGAATTTGGTGCAGATCCAGAGAATTCAATTCTGGATTTCATCAATAAGTCTGGACTCTGAAGATGTGTAGGATTGTTGTGAGGACTTGGTCGGAGTATGTGCTCGTCTGAGTGCTTTTCTAGTTTGTTTCATAGCTCACTCTACCTTCATCTTCATCTTCATCACCGTGTACCTGTGACAAAAGAAGAAAAAGCAGTGTTAAAATAAAACAAACTAAAAGGCAGCATCAGACGAGCACATACTCCGACAAGGCTCAACAATTCCTACGATCTTTCAGGTCCAGATTATTGATGAATCCAGATTATTCTCTGGATCTGCACCAAATTCTATAATTATTCTGTGAAGTCGCCGGAAATGTCTACAACATGGCCTCTCTCGCAATGTTGAGGAGAGTAATTAAGAAGAATTACTGGATCGGCTCCTTTCTGGATCTGCACCAAAAGGTAATTTGTCCCTGGCCTATGACCCATCCCTCCACAGGGTTGGTGCTAATCAGTTCAGTAGTTGTTTTAGTATCCTGCTGACACATTCTCAAGTGTAGCTGTACAACCTACAACCGACCACGAACCAACCTACCAACCGACAACCGCCAACCACCAACAAACAACAACCAACCAACCAACTAACTAACCACCAACCAACAACACAACGACTCCGAGACCGACCGAAAACAAACACCACCAACCAACCAACCAAACCAACCAACCACCAACCAACCAACCAACCAAACGCAAACCACGCAGGCGGAAATCGACGAGAAGGCAGACCAGAACCAAACGCAACCAAAACAAACAACCAACCAACCAACGAACCAACCA